AATGATTTATTATTCGATCATTTAACAGTCTAATGAAAACACATGAAAACGAAACTATTCTCACACATAAATGATGCTCTGAAGTTGTCTTTTCTCGAGGTTGCAGCACCACCTCGGCTCCCAAAGAAAATTCACCTTCCCCCTCTCCAATTAGCCCAATTAACCCGAATCAAAGCAGCCAATCACGGCACCAATCAGCCAATCAATCAAAGCAACAAACCCGTTTCTCTTATGTATTTATTTGTTCCATGTTTCCCTCCCGCAGCAGCAGCAGCAGCTCGGTGGTGTTGGAGCAGACTGTAAGCTAGGTGGCCGCACCAACACATTTATCTCAGCCCGCCTGTGCCAGACGCACATGGGATCCCGTCCTGCGTAACCCGGGGATCTTCAGCAGCCGCAGCCGAGCGCCGGGCACCGTGAGCCCGGGCAGGAGCAGACGCACACACGGCACTGGAGAACCGCTCCACATTTCTGAGGTGATCTTTCTCCTGTGGCGGAGACGCGGCGTGTTATTTATTCAAATGCTGTGTGTGTCTGTGTGAGTGTGTGAGTGTGTGTGTGTGACAGTCACCGCCGCGGACTAACTGCGTCTTGACGCGGAGAGGTCGGACTGCCTCGGCTCGGGGTGGGGGGACAGAAACACCAAAAAACACACGCGTAAAGACTCCACTCCCGTCTCCCCCCCCCACCTTCTTTTATTTCCTGTCAGCTTTTTCTTTTTTTTTCTTCTTGCGATTTATTTCCTGCAGCCGCACCAGGAACCCGGGACCGAGCTCCTGCTCCGAGGATGAGAGAAAACTAGATTTGCGATCGAGGCTGTTTCTGAGGTTGTTTCTCTGGATTTATTCGGCGGCGGAGGAGGCGCAGAGAACCGGGAGCGGAGCTGCGCGCAAAAACAAGCCGAGGTCTTCCTCCTCTCCTCCCCTCTCCTCTCCCTCTATCTCTCACTCTATCTGCCTGTCTACCCATCCTCTTCTATCCATCTCTCTCCGTGTGTTTCCATGTTTCTCTAGGTCCGGGAGATTTTGCTAAAATGCATCATCAACAGCGGATGGCAGCTTTGGGAACAGACAAGGAACTGAGTGACTTACTGGATTTCAGCGCAGTAAGCGAATCCATCTCCTTCTCCTGTTTAATCTGGATATAATGACTGTAGTGTGATGCCAGTGGGCTTCAGTACACTCCACAGATACAGCCACTGTTTACATGTTTAATGGATGCACGGCACATAACCTGCACATTTTAGCCTCTGACTCTTTTCAAGTATCTGCACAGAAGTTTTTTTTTTTGTAACTTGGAGAAAAGTCAGTGCATATTGTTGGTTTTATAAATTTCATTTCTTTTATTTCTGTGTGTGTGTGTGTGCAGAGAATTGTGATGCTGCATTAGTAATTTTGTTGTCTTATAGATGCGAAACAGCGATTTGAAAATGTTCCCAACATCCATGGTAGTATATCTCATTTTAAGTCCTTCTTTTCTTTAATGTGCTCTGATTTCTTCCTTTTGCCCTTGACTGGATTTTAGACAGAAAATGTTTTTCTTTTGCTCTGTGTGCGTAAATCCATGCTGCTCCATGCTCCATGCACTCTGCACTGTGTTGTTCAGATGCAAAAGGCTCGGTGTTGAATCGTGAACCTGCATGACAGACAGACAGGCTGAGAGACAGGCAGGCAGACAGACAGACATGGGCCTCACCCGTCTCACCCTCTTTAAATGCTGGTAAACTCACGGCTGCAGGTTTTAAACTTAGTGTTCTCCTCTCAGTGTGTGTTTCGAACTTGACAGACAGGAAACAGTGTCCTCGCTCTCGGCCATGTTTTCTCTGAGCCTCTCCTCCTCTGGGAGCAACTTTGGCCTGAAGAGGAGGAGGAGAGAGGGAACAAAAAAATCTGAAACACCCCAAAATGAAGGGAGAGGGAGAGAGAGAGAGAGAGAGAGAGAGAAACCAGGGCTGGCATCAAGTGTGTTATGAAACATGGAGACACAGTGTGGACATCTTTACACCAGAAAATGTCAGGAATGTGGATATTGATGCTGTTTGAGATTTAAAACACTGAATTTATCTTTTTAGTTTTTAAATTTTCACCATAATGTTAACGCAGTAAAAAAAAAAAAGACATGACATCAGAGGCCTGGAGATTCTCTAGAGAAGTGTGACACAAATGTTGAGGGAGTTTTGAATTTTAAAAACAATATTATAATTTCACAGTTTGATTCTTAAACACTATTAAAAACCTGTAGATGCAATTATAGTGATTTTTCAATATGACAACACAGATAACACCTGAACTCACTATACAATAAACGTGACAATCTGAATATCGGAATATAAAGTCTGTTAAAATTAGATATTTACCAGAAAATGCACATTAAAATATCTGTAACATCAGAATTAAGAAACAGATAATGTACCTCTGTAGAAATACTGACATAATAAAACATGTGCTCACACAGCACAGGTTGTAATCTGGATGTAATAACTACACAATGATCTCTGAGTGAACGGGGAAAATTAAAAATGAAGAACCACAGATAATGTAATATATCTCTGGGATTACTGTATGAGAAAGAACCACAAAATCATTTCTAACTGTTAATGTAGAAGCACACACATACTTTTGAAGTGACTGTGCTGATGTTACATGAATGTTGCTGTGATGTTTATTATAAAACTTAATTCATAATACAGGAACACGTTTCTATCCCTGTAAAGAATATTGAATTATAAAAGTCATAATTAAATATAATACGTCCAAAATATTAGAAAAAATAACTAAAAATAGAATAATGTAATCATTGATTAATTTAATAGAAGTAAAAAAAATGGATATATAAATATTCATATGACATAAAAATAGAATTTAACACCTAGAAGAAGTCTATACAATAAACACTCAGGTAATAATATTATAGGAACAAATAAATCTTCACATTGAATTGATCATTCAGTGACACACACACACTTTCCAGTAACAGTGAATGAGGGATTGTAAAAAAAACAGTTTATAAAATTTCTCTTTGTTTAGGATATTTACACGTTTATGAAAATATGAATCAGCGCGTCTTAAATCATATTTGTGGAGAACAGAAAATGAAACAAAGGAGGGCAGCAGCAGCCAAAACGTGTCTCGTCTCATTATAAATGCAGGTCGACCATTAATTTATGCGATCATCTGTCTTTACACGCCCACAAGCTGAGACAGCTGAAAATGCTTCGACGGGGATATCGATAGAGGAACCTGCTAATGATCAGAACGAGATCTTTTGTCTCCCAAACACTTGTTTTCTGCGTGTCGCAGCTGTGACGCAGATAAAACACAGTCCACGTCCGACGTGCACGCTCACAGGCCCGACGACAGATCAAGCGTTGATCGCTTTTTCTTTTTTTTAAAGCGAGGGTCTAAATTACAAAACAAAACACAAAAAAAAAAAAGAAGAAAAGATTTCCTCAAAAAGCTAAAAGTCTTTCAGCATCTGAACGTGTGGAAGCTGGAGTGTGTTCAGGATCAGAGGTGTCAGCATCAAACACAGCGACACACGCAGGCCTGATATTTATCCGGAGAGGTTATCCATCGGGGTCAGATGTCTCACTTTGATAGCGTTTCTCTGTGAAGCTTTACAGTAGCTCGCTCAGTCACACAGCAGGAATCAACATTCAGCCGCAGTCTCCGTCTTTGTATGGGCTTGATTTTTTTTTTTTTTTTCCTGTAGATGTGTAGAGCAGATGGCAACTAGTGCTGATGATTATCTCATATGTTTAAGTCAGATATGAAGTAGATGTTGAAGCGCTGCGTTCCAAAATGAGCCGTCCAACATTTGGATAAAGTGACACTTGAGAGACGAAAACACGTTTTTGTGAAAGGTGAGCAGGTGACTGTGATTGGATCCCGTTTGTTCCTCACAGATGCTGAATGAGGAGTTAGATTTTTCTTTCTGCTTTTCTTAAAAAACGTCGCCACCGTGTTTTGGAAAATGAACCCTTCATGTCTGTGAGGGCTGTGTGGGTATCGAACCTCGGCACGTGCACAGTACAGACCAAAATCCTGGCACCCAGAGGTGTGGACTCAGACTAACGCCAGACTTAAGTCATGGATATGATGATTCTAATCATTTGACTTATGACTTACGTTCCTCAAATCTGCCAACTTTAAAAAAACTACTACGTGGACAATCAGGTCAAACAACACAACATAAATGAGTTTTACTTTAAAATAGGTCATAGATACAAAACAGTAGTTTCTCTTAAATGCCTTTAAATGTAGGTCTTTGACTTTACGTCGAACTTAAAGGACGTAGAGACTCGACTTGTCGTGGTGTTTGTCACGATACTTCGTTGGACCTGACTTGGAATCACACTTCAGATTTACCTGACTTGATGATCTTTACTTTGGACTCAATGTGTTCCTGTCTCACCCGACTCACTCCTCCTGACTTGTTGACCCTGTTCTGGGACCTAAGTGTGAACTTATAGGATTTCAGTGACTCTGGACTCAATGAAGGACTTTTCAGCTAAAGGTTTTTAGACGTAAATACGTCGTGTGAACCAGTGATTCTGTCCCACCTCTGCAGCCATTGCTCAGATTTATAAATCAGGCAGTCGTGTAAAGACAAATAACGTTTGAGAACTTTAAGTTGTCTCCTGAAATGGAAAACATTATGCATATCTCAAATTTGTTATTTGGCACCAATCTGAGGCATCAACACTCGATGCACAGCTCTCTTCGTGATTTTCTTTACAATTCATACTCCGATGTCGGAAAAGCAGAAACGAAGCTCTGATGAGATAAAAACAAAGAAAACCGAGTGACTGTTAAACATCTGACATTTCACCGCGTGATGGCGAGGTGACGAGAATCTGGCGACACTTTTCTCTCAGCCAAATGTTGCCGCAGCGTTTTGGAACGGAGCTCTTCATGTGTAGCTGCAGTGATGTCTCTGTAGTGATGTGTCTTGCTGTCTGCGGTGTCAGTGCTCTCGGAGGTAATGTGCGCTCTGTTTGTCTTGTAGATGTTTTCCCCTCCTGTTAGCAGTGGAAAGAACGGCCCGACCTCCCTGGGGAGCGGACATTTCTCCAGCTCAAGTACGTCAGCCTTCTCCCCTTTTTATTATTTTTTTTCTCCTCCTCTTTCTTCTTCTTCTTATTTCTCAGCCTCCTCCTCTTCTTCCTCTTCCACCTGCTCGCTGCTGCTTCGCTTGCTGTTTGGATTTTCGGGGGGGGGGGGGACCAGGTTTGGGACGTGCAGATGCTGTTTTGCGGTTTTTATGCTGTTTTGCTTCGTGGAACACTATTTTGAGTTGACTTGAAAAATTGCGCTTCTTGAAAATCTAACTGGCTCATACATTCTATGAGGATTCTGGTGGGTCTTGTGTTTTCTGCTCTAAATGTTGCTGCAAACACAACAGTGTGTTTGGTTTATTTTGTTTTCACTGTGTGTCACGTTCACGTGCTGCACTGAAGGTCTCAAGTTGTCAAGTCGTTCCCGTTTCGATGTGTTCGTGTGCTTTGAAGTCGGAATGTGGAGGAAAAAAAAAAAAAAAAACCTGGGATGCTGTAAACAAAACGTGTTAATCATGAAAATGTGTCTTTCGGCTGAAAGGTTGTCGGTGCTTGTGAGAGATGAACAGTTTGAAAGTGATAAAAGTCAAATTTGACAAGTTCACATTCAAAGCAGTTCAAAATGTTGTTAATTGTTTTATAAGCGATAATCTCTGCAACTCCTGCAATCGTATTTAATTTCACCAGTTGGGAACAAATTTTGCAGATAAGTATTCAGACACCAATTCATTTAAAATCTTACATACATGTACAGCTGTGCTGCTCACCCTGTGTGAGGTGAGGATTGTTGTGCGGCCTGGCTCAGGTTAAACCCATTGAAAAACAAATACACACAGAGAATTCAGAATTATTCTATCATCTAGTTACTAAACTAGAAATACACCAAACCACTAAGAACTGAAGTCTTGCAGGCGGAACACGTCGCCGTTTAACTTGTGGGACTTTCCAGAGAGAAGTATTTACAATGAGTGACGTGTTAGCTCACGTTGGCTAGCGCTACACTACTGGAAATCACTTTGACGCTGTAGAAACAGTCGTTGCCGGTGGCGGAACAATGCGACTGATGAATTGGTTCGCGCCTGATCACGCCTGTTCTACGTCACAGCAAACAACACGCGATGGGATTTTTCATGATTCTGCGTTTTAAGGCAACACGTTTGTTTTTCAGCTTCTCGAGTTCATTCCTGAAGGAGACTTCCTGTTTTTCTGATGTGCTGCGCTCATTCTTTCCTGCCTCTGTTTGTGTGCATGTGAGCGTGTGCACGTGGAGATCGGTTCACTGTGTTGTTCTGGCGTCTAACGGGCACAGTTGGTTTCTGTGTGCGGTGAAAACGCTGTGTGTGAATGTGAAGGTTAAAATGTGCAGCAGGTTGTTCAGTCCGTTGAAAACATCAGATTCGCTGTTAGTCGATGATTAATTCATTCTTCTGTTTACTCATGAGGCTGTTTGATTCGTTCAGCCTCTCAGTGTCCCAGGCTGTAAACGAGTTGAAGACGGAGTCTTGAGTTTAGTGTGAAGGTTGAGTCAAGATTCACTTTGTGTGATTTAACATCACAGAAACCAGAGTTTGCTGCACTTAGTGTCTTAATTAACGACAGGTGCATCATCTCCCTTTCCCTTTAAATCCAGTTGTGCTGCACCTTGTTGATGTTCTGCAGAGAGAGAGAGAGAGAGAGAGAGACAGCAGATCGTATGTTTACATGACAACCAGAGCGTACGTGCATTGTTCACCTGAAATCACTGACCTCGTGCCAGGCTTTTGTTTCTCAATCATGTGATCGCCTCCAGCTGCTTCAGGATGGACAGTGTTTGACCGCACTTCAAGTATATTTGCTATTCAAACAACGTGGGCGCTGTAGGATCTGAATCTTCAACGTGTCATTCAGCCACTCGTTCACTTTCGCCTCCGTCCAGTCGCTCGATCGCGATGAGTTCGGTGTGAATTTAAAGTTAATGCTCAAAGAGTCAGTCGGCGTCTGAATTCATCACAGCTCGGTCTGTTTGTGTCAATCGACCAGTGTGTCATCAGGCTGTCGCTAACCTGAGTCACTCACGAGCGTCAAAGTGACGCTGGCGACTCGAAAGGTTCGTTTGGCTCTGAGATAAAAGTTCAAACACCTCGATGGAGACGACTTTGATCTGTGCACGAGAACATACATGTGCATTAACGTGCACGTACACGCTGAGCGTCCTCGCCTGGGGGTTTGAATGTACGGTTTTTTCTTCTTCTGGCATTTTTGTCGGTTACCAAACACATGGTAGCGCCACCTTCTGGACTGGAGTGGGGCCAATGCATCTCGTCGCTAGAAAAACAGTGGATGCTTGTTTTTGTACAGTGACTCAGTGTGTGACGTGTTACATGTGTGTGTATGTGTGTATGTGCAGTTTGTTGTCATGTGGGTAAATGTATTTACTCAACAGGATCCGTCCACCTTTACAGAATGTCTTTATATTTTATATGAACGAAGAGGAGACTCCACGCAGAGGTCTGTACTTCACCTCTTTGTTGTGATGCGTTGGTGTCATGTATCTCTCAGATGTTGTAACGTCATGACATCATCAGTGTGATCAGTGTGTGTATGTTGATACTTGCTGCTGAAAACCAACCGGGTCGTCTCTGTTGCTCACGCTCTTGTTATTTGCCTCTAAACGGCGTCGGGGAAGCCATTTTGTTAGTTGGCTGGAAAACAGAGAGATGCCGAGACGTCTTCTTTGTTTACTGCGTTGTTGTTGTTTGTGCTCGGCGGTTTCGGTGATGTTGTTCTTTGCTCCCGTGCCGTGCATACAAATGTAGAGGAAGGACGACAAATGTTACGATTCCGGGAATAAAAGGCTCGGCTTTTGTAGAATTTGTAGCGGCTGTTAGGCCTCGGTTTGCTGCTTCGCCGTATATCTTCATTTTGGAATTGTTTTTTTTTTTCCTCTTTTGATGCAGGAACACACACTGGTGTCACACACACACACACACACACACACACACTGACACTCATTGCTGTACACAAATCACACAGTTTTTTTATGTGCACACATTGAAACACCCTCATGTACAAGATGCAACACACTCACACAAACACACACACACACTCTGCTCACCCCTGCTGTGGCTTTCTGCAGGCCTCGGCATTTTGATGAGCCTGGCGCTGTTTGTGAATGCAGCTAATTAGAACTCTACAGACCTACACAGCCATGAGAGCAGTGTTTTCCAAAGGCTGGTGTGAGGCCAGAGGATGGGACACGCCGACACTGAGCGGGGTCCATTTACTCCGGGTTAACGGTCATAACTTCAGAGACAAATTCGAGGAGAAAGCTGAATAAACGAGCGGAGAAGCAGAAGAAATGCAGATGGTTCCATTCAGCTGCACTGAACTGTATAATTCAGCAGTAAACATCCACTCGTGTTCTGTGGCAGGTTTAAAAATGCTGAGCAGGCTCAGTGGAGATCTGGTGACTTTAAAAAGACGGGTCATAGTCGGAGCAGGAGCTGTGACATCTGTACGCAGATCTGTGGAGGAGTCAGTGAACGTTTCATCGGCTGGCCGACTGATTATAAAAGACTGTGATGCATCAGTGCAACATGTGAGAACGAAGAGAAGAGCAGCTCCTCTTCAGGTAGAGAATCTAAATCAGCAAGAATCTTCTGGTGCGGCTGCAGAGCGAAACCTGAGAGTTCATCTGTGTAGGAACCACAGGCACTGGTGGAGTTCACAGAAAGACACAGGGGCAGGAAACTCTCCAAACAATGAATGAACATCCAGCTGTTTTCTTGTGCATTTTTTCAATCTGCGCATACAAAACACAGCAAATAGCCGAAATATTGCAAATGAACTTCCCCGATTCTTTAGAAACAGGTGGAGTTTGTTCAACGTAAACAGAGAGACGAGGACACAAAGACGACGAGAGCTTGGATAAAAGTGTTGTGTAAAAATATCGTCAGAGGCGGAGGAATAAAAACAGGTTTTAGGAAACACTTCATCCGATGCTTTTCAGGACGGGGACGTGTTTTTGAAGCCCCATCCACGTTTGACGTGAGTCCTCGTATTTTTGGCGATAAATTCACCTTAATGCACAAAAGCATCTAAACATAAACGCCGCACAATCCCCACGAGTCCCAGCTGACACGCTCAGCCCACGGTCATCACCAACCAGGAAGTGGATTAGGCGTTTTAATTATTGGGAGATTTCGCCGTTGCTGTTGTTTATTTTGGGATCATCCCTGGAAAGATAATGCACACTTCAAACTGTGTGTGTTTCTAATCTCCTCCTGGATGAAGCCGTACAGCGAGCGGCTTCACTCCGCCTGTCAAAGCCACAGCCGCCAATGCCACTCGTCTATTTCAGGTCTTGGCTGGTTTGGGTGTTTTTCCTCTCTTTTTTTTTTTTTTTACATTCTTTAACCTCTCAGAGCCGCTGTTTGTCTCCCTGTCACTGGTGTTGGAAGGTGTGTGTGAGAGTGTAAAGATGTGTTTTCATGAGCGTAAAAATGTGTGTGAGATCTGAGGAGATTTTTTATTGTGAGTGAGCATGTGTGTGTGTGTGTGTGTGTGTGTAGTTTGGGGGGGGTTTGGGGCAAATCATCATCCCTGTTGCCGTGGAACGTAGAGTTGGCAATGAAAGATGGACAAAATGTTTCCTGGAGTGACAGCAGAGAGGAAAGAGAAATTAAGGAAATAAGGAAAGGAAGCAAAAGGTGGAAGGAAGAAAGGAGAAAAATGAAGAAAGAGAGGGTAACAAAGACCTGAAGATAGAAGAAGGGAAAGATGGAGATGGAAAAGAGAAGGAAGGAAAGGATAGAATAAATCTGGTGTCATATTCTCATTGTCAACAACCAGTCAACCAGTAAAACCTCAGGCTGAGACTCGTGTCCAAAGCTGCCGGTGCTTCATAAATCTAAAGTTACACTTTTAAAAAAAAGTTTCCTCAAACAGTCGCAGGAGGAAATGTTGCGTCTGGACTATTTTAAGTGGCGGACTAATACACATTCTGTGCAGCAGGACGGTGTGAAGGCTACGACGTTTGAGCAGGCGTT